CAGCGCTGCGGCGAGCGGCCATGCCGGCCTTCATGATGCGCCAGATGGCGCTCTCGACGACGCCGTTATACTGCGGAACGCCAGGAGGTGTGAACTCGACGCGGATGCTGTTGTCGTCGCAGAAGCGCCTGAAGTCGCCGCAGGTTCACTCGGTGCCGTTGTCGACGCGGAAACACTCGATGCGCCCGAGGTCGTACCGCCCCACGTCCGCCAGCGGCCTTTTCGTTGCCGCCAGCGCGTCGGACTTCCGCCGGAGACCGTAGACCTTGTTCCACCGCGAGGCGCTGTCCACGGCGACGAACAGGTAGAGGTTGCCGCCCAGGGAAGGCACCAGCGGTCCACACAGGTCCAGGTGAACACGCCCCAGTGGCTTGGACGCCCGCGCTCCTGGCCCCCGCGGCACCGACCCTCGCCTGCCCTTCGCCCTCATGCAGTCCGTGCACGGTTCCAGCTTGCCCGTGAGCACGATGCCTCCCTGTTGGGCAGTTTCTCTCAAAAGAGGCTCGCAAGCGTGGGCAAGGGAGCGGTGGAAGCGGTTGATGTCAACGGACTTTTCAGTCGAACCAAGAGCAAATGGGGACGCACCAGGGCAAAGCGCGGCCGCACCCAAGTCAAAATCAGCACCCCCATCAACGCTATCCAAAACACCAGCCACATTCGCAGCGCCACTCTCTGGGATAAACACGGGGAAAAAATCTGGATACGGGGTGTCATCATAGCCATCCATGAGCTGCTCGTCGGTGAGCACACTAGTACCTCCAAGATCCATACACGCAAAAGTACCCACACACACAAACTCGGACACCAAGGAAGGTACTACATCGGCAGAGCCGGCGGGCGGGACGCTCTCACTCGCAGGTACTACACTGGTGGGACCAGTGGGCGGGACGCTATCAGCCGAAGGTACTACGCTAGCTGGGCCAGCGGGAGGAATACGCAACATGGACACCAATGATTTCGCGGAGCCAACGGCGGGGGCGGAATCGCGGGCAGTCACGAATGCGGGCTGATCAGCAGGGTCTACGATGGTCGCAGATGGGTCGTACGGCAACCGCATGNGAACACCAATGATTTCGCGGAGCCCCTCTTTTGGGAAGGGGAACGCGCGGAGCCAACGGCGGGCGCGGAATCGCGGGCAGTCACGAATGCGGGCTAATCAGCAGGGTCTACGATGGTCGCAGATGGGTCGTACGGCAACCGCATGGCATACGCTGCAGACGCTTTTTCCTCTCTAGCAAAGGGCAGTCCATTTTGTAGGGTTGCACCACGTTCGTCGTAGAGGATTGGTTGCTTCAGAGAAACAGCATGCGTTGAGAACAAGTTGAAGCTCAGGCTCTCTACTACAGACACGTCANTTGTGCCGTGTAGAGGTGGAGGTAGCCCGAAGATGGAGGCGCGCCAGGAGAAGGAGTAGAGGACGAGGAGGAAGCTGTATCTGTCCCCACCGCCGGCGTAGTGGGCGTACCCGGCGTCGCAGTAGCCGTCGTCGTAGAAGTATCCATCGTCGTAGTCGCCACAGTCTTCGTAGTAGCCACCATCATCGTGGGCGTGGTACGCAACGTACGCCTGCTCTCTTCCGTGCCAGAACGCGCGTGCCCCGGGCCTCTCCCTGCCC